TCTCTCTCTCTCTCTCTCTCTCTCTCTCTCTCTCTCTCTCTCTCTCTCTCTCTCTCTCTCTCTATCTCTCTCTTCTCTCTCTCTTCTCTCTCTCTCCCTCTAACTCTTACTCTTACTTTCCATCCCTCTCTCTCGCTTTCATGGTCCCCTTTGATGTACCGCCAATGAAAAGAGTTATTTAAAAATATTTTCCTGATGTTTAGATCCTCTGCTCTGGTTTAAAACCCACAGATTTCACTTTGGAAGTTGGGTCTCTGCTTGCCGACGCCCTTCCGCCCGGCTTCCGGAGGGGTCAGAGTCGCTTGCCGTGGGCTTAAATGGGAACGCCACTCGAACGGGAGCAGTTATCGCTTATATGAACCACCATTTCAGGTTTAAAGTAGGCCATTACCCTGGGAAACACAGCCTGGCTCGTGCCTCCGGGACTGTGGTCCTTACGGCGCTCGTCGATAGAGGCGCGAGTAGCGTTGGCGTTCTGGAAGGAAGCTGTCGATGCATTTTATCGCCCTTATTAGAGAGTAATTAAAATGGAGAATGGAATGTGGAAGCTATCTCGCGCTGGCTTGCTCGCCGTCGGCTGGACTTCCGACTCTGTTGGAAGAAAGCTGTAGGATTAAGGCGTTAGGTGCGGTGGGGGAAGGAGGGGAGAAAGAGGAAGCAGAGGAAGAACGTGGACGAGAAAGAGGAAGAATATAGGGGTCGAATGAGAGGAGGAATAAGAAGGGGATGAGGGGGAAGAGCGGAGAGAGAGAGAGAAGAAGAAAAAAGGAAGAGGAAGCGAGTTTTCAAACAGTGGCGTGAAGAGGAAGAGAAGGTAGGCAGGGAGGAAAAGGTTGAAGAGAGAGGGGCGAGGTGAGAAAGAATGAAGAAGGGGGCGAGAGAGAGATTGAGAGGGGGGGGATAGGAGGGCAGGAGGCCTCGGCGGCTGGGGTCAGCTCAGGGCACCCGACGCTTGCTTACAGAATTTACCGGTGGAATATTGCTTGGGGTACTTGTGAAGGGCCAGGCTAATGGGGTTTCGCTGTAGGCTTCCCCGCATACAGAGAAACACCGGCCGAGGGGAGGAAGGAGGGAAGGGGGGGTTGGGGGGGGGGGGAGGGGAAGGGGGGAGGGAGGGGAAGGGGTGGAGGGGAGGGGAGGGGGAGGGAAGGAGGGAAGGGGGAGGAGGGGGGGAAGGAGAGAAGGGGGGGGGTGGGAGGAGAGGAGGGAAGGCGAAGGTAGGGAGTTGGGAGGGAAAGGAGGAAGGAGGGAGTAGGGAAGGAAAAGAGGGAAGGGGAGAGGGAGGGGAAGGAAGGGAAGAACGGAAGGAGAGACGGAGATGAGGGTGAGAGATGGAGAGAAGGGAGGGAAGGAGGGAGACGGAAGGGGGGGAGGGAGGAAGGGAGCATGCTTTTAGATGGAGTTTTAATTTGAAGATTAATTTCAGCTCATTTTGTAATAAAAAAACTGACGTGTGTGTGTGTGTTGTGTGTATTGTGTGTGTGTGTGTGTGTGTGTGTGTGTGTGTGTCTGTGTGTGTGTGTGTGTGTGTGATGTGTGTGTGTGTGTGTGTGGTGTGTGTGTGTGTGTTTGAGAGAGAGAAGAAGAGAGAGAGAGAGAGAGAAGAGAGAGAGAGAGAGAGAGAGAGAGAGAGAGAGAGAGAGAGAGAGAGAGAGAGAGAGAGGATTAATTTCAGTAATGGGAAACTTGCACAAGGAGGCTTTGAGCTGTGTTCAAGGTTTAAGAATTCTTGCACAGAATGCAAAATTGACGAAGAAGAAACTTTAGATCTAGATGAGGATGTGGGACCAAAGTAACTAGAGGCTTGCACGCACACGCACACGCGCACACTCGCACACATATGCAATACGTAGTAGAATGAGGGGGAAGTAAGATGGAGCGGAGAGGGAGAGAGAGAGGGAGAGAGAGAGAGAGAGGAGAGAGAGGAGAGAGGAGAGAGGGAAGGGAGACGAGGGGGGAGAGAAGAGGGGAGAGGGAGGGAGAGAGAGAGGAGGAGAGACGAGAGAGAGAGAGAGAGGGGGAGGTGAGGGGGAGGACGGGAGGGAGGGAGGGGGGACGAGAGGGAGAGGAGGAGGGAGAGGGAAGAGGAGAGGGGAGAGAGGGAGAGGGGAGAGAGGAGAGAGGGAGAGGGGACGAGAGGGAGATCGGGAAAGAGGGGAAGAGGGAAAGGGGATAAAGAGGGAAAGAAGGGAAAGAGGGAAAGAGGGAAAGGGGAAAGAGGAAAGAGGAAAGAGGAAAGAGGGAAAAGAGGGAAAGAGGGACAAGAGGGAAAGAGGGAAAGAGGGAAGAGGGAAAGAGGGGAAGAGGGAATAAAGAGAGAGGGAAGAGAAATAAAGAGAGAGGGAGAGAGAAATAAAGAGAGAGGCAGAGAGAGAATAAAGAGAGAGGGAGAGGAGAAATAAAGAGGAGGGAGGAGAGAATAGAAGACGAGATGGGAGAGAGAAAATAAGAGAGAGGGAGAGAGAATAAAGAGAGGGGAGAGGAGAAATAAAGAGGAGAGGGAGGAGAGAAATTAAGAGAGAGTGGAGAGGGATAAAGAGAGAGGGAGAGAGAAATTAAGAGAGAAGAGAGAGAGAACGAGCAAGCGGAGGGAAAGGGGCTCGGTGTCGACACATCCTAATCTACTTTGTGCATTCGATATTCCGGAATTCACAGCATTAGCGAAGACCCGGGAGCGAGCGGCCAAAAGGTGTAGCGGCGATGAGCGAAAGCGCGGGAACTTCGAAACGCGCATCGAGGGAGACAATTTCGTACTGCGCGCCGATTTTGATGCTGCTCCCCGGGGGGCCAAGGGCGGGGGTGAAGGGGGGTGGAGGGGTTGGGCGGGGGTTATTCATTCTCCCTTCTCTTTCTTACCTCGTCAACATCAGCGAGCAATTACTTAGCTGGGTTTAATCAGTGGACATTCATTGGGACACACCGCACACACACACACTCACACATACTCAGACTCACGTACACGAGCACGCACACTACGCAGCGCGCGCCCACTTCACTCACTCACTCACTTTACTTTACTCACACACACACACACACACACACAACACACACACACACAC